TTTTTATTTTAAGTTGTAAATATTTTAATATACAGTATTTTCATTATCTTTATTTTCTTGAATTTGGCAATTTTAAATTTTGGTTCATTGTTCAAATACTAACATGTTTTTAAGTAATTTTTTTAAAGGAATTGAGTATTTTGTTCTATTTTTGTTATTAATTTGCAGTTACATTGTAAAATATAGGGGAATGTGGTCTATGTAATTTCTACAAATGGAATGTATTACATTTGCCTTTGTGACCTAATATATAGCCACATTTTGTAAATATTCCATGCCACTTAAAATAAATGAGTATATTATGAAGATTTGCTTTTAAGAAGTAGTTAAAATATTTTCTAGGCAAATACTTGTTCACTACTTTTTTTAGTTCATGCATATGAAAATACAATATATTTTAAAAAATAAATTCCTGAACTTTTATAACTGGCAAAATATAATCTCACTTCTCAGTGGATATTGTCTTGGACAAAATTGAGTAAAGGACTTTATATTTCCTTCTTTGGCTTTTTCAAAAAATAAAGTATCAAATCTTATCATGAATTGAGGAATCTGGACAGAAATTTTATTTTGAAACCCATGTGCCCTGAATTGACCGTGTACAGGCTCTTCTGCAAAAAATGTAAGTGATAAAGGGCTTAGCATCCTCACTAAAGTAGTTTTCCATTTGGAGACTTTTATTCATCTGAATTACATTAGCAATAATTTAATATAAATGCTGGAAATCTCCCTAAGGCAAAATTTGCTTGGAAATATGACAGGATTTGTCTTTTTGCTTTGACTACCCGTACTGTATAATATTTCCATCACCTCTATAAAGTATTCATTAAGGGACTATTTGCACATGATGAAAGGAAATTGAAGACACACAGTTCTTACTCTATGAACTTATCTAAGAAAGACATTACATAAGAAGAGACGTGTATATGTACATTAAAATATAAAAATTCAGTGCATGATATTCAAAAGAGGAGGGAAAGGAGATGACATCTTTTGCACGCCTTTCTTTTTCCAGACCCTGTACCCAACACTTTGGAGAGGTGATTAAACCTGGGCGTTCTTGTTGAGGAAAATCTTCAACTGTGTACCAGTCAATCTGAGACGGTGCTGATGCCAAGGGGAGGTTAATGCAGGAGTGTGTGCTTCAGAGTCTACCACAGGGGTTTTCAAGGACCACATAGCAGCAGATCCCATCACTTGCCATTAAGATACTTTATTTGATATAAAACCTCAGAAATATGCTCTGAATGTTGAGTGCAAATGACTGCAGGACAATGAGGTAGCATACCTAGGGCCCTGGAACTAGATCAGGCAAAGGTGGGTACTCATCTATGGAAATCTGGTATTTTTACAGAGATTGCTTTAAAAAGGAAAAAAAAAAAAAAAAGGTTGCTCTGGCCAGCTGATTAAAATATTATTAGTGTAGATAGATGTTAGGTAGGTAGGTAGATAGATAGAAATAGCGTATTTGGGATATGAGAAAAGTAGTGTAATTGAACATCTTTGCCATATTTCATTGATTTTAGGCAATACCATTATTTCATGTACAACAAAAAACACTTGGCAATTAAATTATGACAAATATTGCCATTGACCTTAAGACTCATTCCAAATATGTCAGAGATGTTAAAATGTGTAAAAAATTTACATTTTAGGATCAATGTACTATTTTACTAATAAGGATGTTCGAGATGATAAGTTTTTAAAACTAAATTGCATTATAAAAATTAACTTTTTTTACTAATAAGGATGTTCGAGATGATAAGTTTTTAAAACTAAATTGCATTATAAAAATTATTAACTTGATTCTTCACTCAAGAGAATTAAGATTTATAAACCTTAAAATAACTGATACTCATTTGTATGACAAGAGCCTCAGATAAAATTTTCTGAAGGACCTTGACATCCTATATGATAAGTTGAAGCAATATGTCAATGATCTAGCACTTCACTTAGATCTTTATTTTTTTGTGTGTGTGTGTTGAATGTGTGTTATAGGGAGGCAGTGACTTTTTTGACAAATGTTTACAAGGTCTGGAACTACTTTGCAAGTTAGTATGAGTGGAGTAAGAGAGTGGAGATAGTTAAAAAGCTAAGAGAGAGTAGTTTACCAGGAACCTTCAAGAAGTTGATACCATTAAATCTTTTATTTTTTTGTTGCAGTGGTTGAAGCAAGGTGACAAGTACGACAAACCTTGCTGGAGCTACCACACACTGAGCTGCTCCACCGTACTAAATGTTCATTTTGATCTTTACGTGAATTTTATGTATATGAAGTTTTATTCATTTGAATGAAATTAAGTAAAACAGTCCCTGACAGAAGGCACTGGAGAAGTAAATTAATGTGAAGACTTACTCAAAAAAGAAGCAAAAAATGAATCCAAAATTCATATAATGTTGGTTATTCATAAACTCCTTTGACATAACATCTATGTTACAAATATTTTCGACTCATCAGATTTATTCTGTATTCTCATTCCTTCCTGCATCTTCTTTTTTTGTCCTAAAGGGTCCACTTAACTGTGGATTTCTGACCATGCCAAAAACAAATTCATCTTGAATATACAACAGAATGTATTAATGAAGACCCAGTGTGTAATAGAAAAAGCTGGAGAGTGTTGGACTAAATTTATGTTTCCCAAAATTAGGTTACGTGGATAGGTACACTGTAGTCTCAGATGTATTAATGAAGACCCAGTGTGTAATAGAAAAAGCTGGAGAGTGTTGGACTAAATTTATGGTTCCCAAAATTAGGTTACGTGGATAGGTACACTGTAGTCTCAACTATCAAAATCCTCCAGTACTTCTCCATTTTACTTGAGTAAAAGCCAAAGTTCTTACAGTGCCCCTCAAGGTCCTAGGTGATCTAGGCCTGCCTGTCCCCACCCAGTTCAATCTCTTACCTCATCCCTGTTACTCTTCCCCTCGTACACTCTACTCTCAGTGCTTATTGAACATGCCATGCACATTTCTTCCTCAGCACTGGCTGGACCATTTATTGGGTTCTCTTCTCTCTGGTACTTACTGAGAGAGGCCCATTCCTTCCCTTCTTCTAATACAGCGAAATGCTTCCTGCTGGGACCACCCCATTTACATTGCAACTCTTTTAGCCCATTCGCAATCCCCTTTATTCTGTTCTGTTTTTGTTAAATCTCCAGAGCATTTATTACCTTATAATATCAGATACATTTTCCTTATTTATTAGTTATCTCTCCCCACTAGAATATAAGCTCCACAGGACAGGCATTTGTGTCTCTTATTCACTGATGCCTAGAGTAGTAGTAGGTGCATGATAAATTTTTTTGGGTGAACGTGTAGATGACTAACATTACTCCCCCGAGAATCAAAGATGTGAGGTTGGGAAAGGAGAATGGATACATTTCTGACATTATGGCATACATGCGTGCTGGGGATATCCAAACTATACTCAAGTTACCTCCTCTATCCTGATCTCCAGCCTAAGACAGAAGGGATTTATTTTGAAACTTGAAAGAGTCATCTAGCCAAAATTCTATGATTTTTAACAGCCTTATATAATCACGCCAAAAAAATAAAAAGTTGATATACATGCCAGGTTTATTAACCAATTCATTAGTCTAACTTGAATATGTAATTTTAATAATGCTATTTCATGGCTACTAAATCCTGACATACTGAATTTCTTTATTCCAAAACCCTATTCTTCATTTGCATTTCAAAAAAGGATACTACACATGTACCACAGATCCAAACATATGAATTATCTGGCTTTATTGACACCATGTTGGATAATGGTGGGAACTCTAGCTAATGTAATGAAATCAAGTGTTAGGACTGGACTGTAACAAATAAGGTGCCGAAATAAGAAAGTACAGTATGTGTGTTTTTACTCACCTGCATAATTCATCATTTCGGCAGCTGCGAATTACATCGAGGCAAGTAGGGGGTGGAACTATGTTCACTGCACATGGCTTGCTGTGAAGAGCTTCTCTGGACTGCTGACAAGGTGTATCATATTGAGCACAGTCACAAAAAGCCAACATCTGGGCAATGTTAAAAGGCATATTTTGATAGAAGAACCGTATGGCTGCTTGGCAGTGTTTCACATCACACAGATTTCCATTTGGTGAGCAAGCTTTAAGGTAAGCGGCCAACTGTGCATTACAGACCACATCCCCTACACACGCCTCTGCCACTTCCAAACAGGACAGGATCCCTTTGAATCCTGAAAGCAATGATATGCCCAGGTCATGGAAAAGTAAACACAAAGCTGTACCTACAGAATCTCCAAAACACTGTGAGAGTCTATGAATTGGTA